CTTTTTGCTGCTTATCAAGTAACTTTGAGCCTCAGTCAGAAAAAAAGACAGGAGGGTTTTATATTTCTGGTCCAAGAGGAGGAAACAAATGGTGGACTGAGGTTTTTTTTGTTTGTTTGTTTGTTTTTTTCCACGGGACGTGTTTCCTCCTCGCGACTCGGCTCACATCAAATCAGACCGTCTTTTAAAAAAATTGAAGGTGTCATATACTTTTTATCATTACTTCGTTTCTACTTGGCCTAACACAATTTAAAAACTGGTTTAAAGTTCGAAGTCACTACTTTTCACTCAAGGGTCTCAGAGAGGGCGGATCTTTACAGGTAGAGTTTTTTTTATCTTCTCAAACTTTATTTAGGTCAGCCAGCATTGACAATGCTCTGCGGGTGACAAACTGCTCTGCGACATGGCGAGGGACGCATAAACCGTGCAACACAATGAATTGATAATGAGATTTGTTGCCAACGCTTTTAATAATCGATTTTTATCGATTCATTGTTGCAGCCCTATTTGTCTTATTATTACCCTAATCTAGCATGATTTGACTGTTCTAACCTATTTGCCATGCAAATGATTATCAGCATATTTTGTGAAATATTTTTTATTGTTTTATTAAATGTATATTGTTTTGTTGTTATTTAAGGCATAAAATATTATTTATTAAATTATTTACAGTTTTTGTTTTGTTTGTTATGTTAGGTGTCACTTACCCATGCTCTATATCGGACTGGAGTACGGTCTAACTAACAACTCCAAGCTGGCGGACCGTTTCTTCAGTCAGGCTCTCAGCATCGCTCCAGATGACCCATTTGTTATACATGAGGTGGCTGTGGTTGCATTTCAAAACGGAGAGTGAGTGAAGTTCTGCTCACTCATAATGACAGTTGTGGCTTGTGGTTTATAAATATGATTGTAGCACAGAAATTAAATAGTTCTGTTTTAAATAATGACAGTGTACCAATCATTAACAACAGAATGACAATGGTTTGACAGTCTCTTAGATGGTCACAGTTACCACTTAGCAGATGAGTTTATTTTCTTTGCAGTAAATATGCAACAATTTTATTACTTGTTTTTTATTAAATATTACTCATTAAATAGCCCATTGAAAACTTTTAATTTACTAAATTGACAAATTATTTTTTATAGAATATTTCTGTTTTGTAAGAATGCTTTTCTCATGTTACAGCTGGAAGACAGCAGAAAAGTTGTTTCTGGATGCGATGGAGAAGATCAAGGCCATAGGGAGTGAGGTAACTCCCTATGGAGTTTATGTGATGTTGCACAAATATTTGCACAACTACAGTCTTACAAAAAGGCACACTTTTGAAACTGTTAATTAAAAATGCAATCAAAATAAAAACAAATTGTTTGCACTTACATTGAATCCTGCTTTAAAAGCCATACTTATAAACAAATTAAATTAACACAGATTAAGTGTAAACAAAGCACCAACCCACGTCTCACATCAAAGCCACKAAATAAAAGAAAACTAAAAAAAGTAAAAAAAATAAATAAACAAGAGAGTTTCTCTACTGTATTGAGCGTTGATCTTTTAGTTTTTGTGGCACAGGCTGCATGTTGGATCGCTGCACGTTATGTAAATAAACCAAGTATTACAAAGATCTGTTACCTTAAAATTTATTTATTTTATTTGTCAGATATATTTAATGCATGACTATAAAATATGAACAGTTCTTAATTAGTGTGATGATTACTGTTTTTCTTTTTTCATTCAATTACAGGTTACTGTGGACAAGTGGGAGCCCTTGTTAAACAACTTAGGTCACGTTTGTCGAAAACTTAAGTAAGAGAAGAATCACTTATAATGTGTTCTTAAAAAACCTTTCACTTTTTGTGTTATTGCTATTAACGGTTTTTGTAGAAAATGATCATATATATAT